AAAAAAAAAAAAAAAAAAGGCGTCACAAAGGTCACATACAGTGTGATTACATTTGTATGAAATGTCCAGAAGGGGCAAACCCATAGAGACGGAAAGCAGATTAATGGTTGCCAGGGGCTGGGAAGAAGGGGCAGGGGGATGACTGATTCATGGGCGCAGGGTTTCTTTTTGGATGTTGAACTAGATAGTGATGATGGTGGCACAACACTGTGAAAGTACTGACTGTCATTGATGATAAATTTTATACTGTGTTTATCTTACCAAATTCTAATCACAGTGGCAACTGTGGGGGAGCCTTTCAATTAACAAATGCATAGCTCGGACTTGCTTGCTGTGTGCATCCCGTCGACAGTTGGGTTTCTTAGGCTTCTGAGGTGGGGTGTTGGAGGCACCTCAGATGAAGGATGAATCGCAGATCACAGACAGTGACTGTTGATTGAACATGTGCCACACACCAGGCGCGGTTCTAAGTGTTTATGTGCATTATCTCTTCTAATCCACACAACAGTTGCCCAGAAAGAAGGTTCTATTTTATTCTATATATAGCTGAGGAACCCATGGCATAGGGACATAAAATAACCTTCCCTAGGTCACAGAGCTGGTGAGTGCACAGCTGGGGTTTCGCCGAGTCCACTCAACGAAGATCTGGTACTGTTGTTGAAGACAGTGAATGCTTTGCAGGGGCCAGGGTTGGGACTCCCAGAGCCCTATGTTGCTGGCAAGAAGATGACAGTCTTACCGTGGTCGTGCGGAAGGAACTGTGGACATCAACTCCCACAGCTTCGGTTTCCTCTTCCATGAGATGAAAAGCCTGGACCCAAGAAAGCCAGTGACCAAGATGGGGACACTGGGCCAGGGACAGAGGGTGAGGGGAGGGGCCAGTGCTGCTCAATTCTTCTTCCCATATGTCCAAGAAAAGGCACTGTCATTGCTCTCGTTTAAAAAAAAAATTGATTTCAGAGAGAGGAAGGGAGAGGGAGAGAGAGAGAAACATCAATGAGAGAGAGTCATTGATCAACGGTCTCCTGCGTGCCCCGTACTGGGGATAGAGCCCAAAACCTTGGCATGTGCCCTGACCAGGAATCGAACCGTGACCTCCTAGTTCATAGGTCGATGCTTAACCACTGAGCAACACCGGCCAGGCTGTTCCCATTCTTTAGGTTAGGGAACAGAGGCTCAGAGGGGCACCATCACTTGACCAAAGCCAAACAGCTTGGAGAGTCAAATCTGATTGAGCTGGGAGCAGCTGCTCTTTGCCCCACACAATGCAACTCTCCAGGATCTGCCAGTGATATTCTGAGTTCTGTTTCTTGTGCTAAATGAACATATGCTCATGCGGAAAATTAAAGAATACAGAAAGTAAAAAAACCACATGGAAGGAAATATAGATCACTCATTATGGTATTATCCAGCGCAATCTACCACTACACCTTTGATATAGTGCCTGCTACTTTTGCCTGTGTAATGCATACACACATATTTACATATTTTTATAAAATTAAGATCATGCAAAATATACAGTTGCTTCAAACTTTTTATGTAATATTTTGCTTATGTTTCCTGTTGATTCACTATGGGAAAACTTCCTTTTTAATATCTACATAGTCTTCCATCATCTGGACCTTCCAGAAGATAACTATCTCACTAACAATGGGCATGTAGGTGGTTTCCTAATTATTGCTACTAAAATCAACACTGTTATGATGGTCCTTTAACATAAGTGTGTTTGCGTACAGCAGGTATTTGATTAATATTTATGAATGAATGAATGATGGATGAATGAGTGGGATTTCTTTAGGATGGGTCCTGGATGTAGAGTTTCTTGGCTGTCCATGCCTCAGGTTTGCCTGTACAGTCCCTGTTCTCTCCTGTTGTCCTGATGTAATTAGTGAGAGAATTCCCTTGTACTCTCAAAAGTGTCTTGATTTGGATGATAAATTATAGGGTCACTCAAGTGATATGAATCTTTTTGAAGTTCTTGATGCACATGGCTAAATTGCTATACAGATGTGTTGTACCAATTTACACCTATCTGTAACCTATTCTTAAAAGAAGAGGGCTTGGTGAAGACGTCTTGATGAAAAATTTGGGAAATGGAATTAGCCTTGTAAAAATGGAATTAGCTTTGTGAAATTCAGAAATGGCTTCGGTCCGTTTCCCCTCCCTAACATCTCATGTTCTTAGCATCCACAATGGTCAAACATTAAGCTTATTATTTTTTAAATGATTTTTTATGGATTTTTAAAAATATTTTTTACTGATTTCAGGGAGAGGAAGAGCTAGAAACACCAATGATGAGAGAGAATCATCAATCGGCTGCCTCCTGCATGCCCTCCACTGGGGATCAAGCCTGCAACCCGGGCACATGCCCTGACCAAGAATCAAACACTGACCTTGAGGTCCATAGGTCAGTGCTCAAACACTGAGCCACGCTGGCCGGGCTAAGCTTATTTTTATTGGACATTTTAATAAATATATATTCATTCTACATGATTATAGCATTTAGATGAGAACAGTCATGATCCTGAAGCTAGTTGGGTTTGCATCTCAACTGTATCACTAGTTGTGAAACTGAACAAATCCCCTAATTGAGTCTCAATTTCTTCCTCTTCAAAGTGGAAATGGATATACCCCCATTGCAGAAAGTCATGAGGATTAGACATCCGTGTTCAGACTAGGAAAGCCAATTTCATGCTGACTCTGCCCAAATCCGGTCTTTTGCTTAGTGAGCCACTCACCCCATCTGTTTAGCAGTAGCATTTGGCCTGTTCTAGTTTTCTATGTACACTTTGACTTTTCATTCTTATAACTTTCCAACTTGGTCCCAGAGCCTGAAGGAGTTGCCCTGCTGGGCTAACTTGCTGGAGGGCTAGTTAGACACATGGCAGTAGTGAAATGCTCCTTGCTTCAAAGGTATCCCACATGCAGATTGTCACCCTGTCTGATCCCAAACCTTTCAGAGGGTTGGCCCAGTAAGTTATAGCCAAGACGACTGCATGATTAACAACATGATTGCTTAGAAGATAGTCGGAGTGGTACATTCTGAGATTGCCTTATCCTGTAGCCAATTGAATGTCATACTTAGGGAGCTATGCTAACTCTTGTTTCTTCACCCTAGCAGGGCAGTAGCCCTGGGGAAACAGTCTAGTCATGATCAGCTGGAGATGTGAATTTTGAGACCATCCCTTGGCTGGCTTTCTGATGCTAGAGGACAGGGCACTTGCTAATGCCCAGGGGCAGGCTCTGGGTGGAGGTATTAGTGGGTGGAGAAGACTGGCAGACTTCTGACTCTCCTTCCCAGCACAGGGAGCCAGACAAAATATGCCAGGGGAATTTGACCATTCCATGTTGGCTGTAGTCTCTTGTGTTTTGGTCTGTGTTGGCCTCAGGAGCCTTCATTATAGCTGAGCTGAAACAGGAGCTCTGAAGTCAAATGCAGGTCATGCCCAAGGGAGCAAACACATGTTCTGTTGGAGGCTTATATGTGCTGGTCTCCTGAGAGCCAGTTTTCTGGGACAGTTACACACAAGCTTATGGGCACAAATAAGGTCTTCCTTCTGATCACAATATCTGATTGCACAATTGATGGCTTAGTCACTTCTCTCTGGCCCGACATTATCCCAGAGTGGGCTGTGAGGTCAGTTATTGCTGAGTTATACAGACTTCCACAGCCCTTGAAGTGACCATCTGCTCCCTCCTGGAAAATAGGATTTTTCATTTATCTAAATTAAAGAGTGACTAAACTAGTGGTCAAAAGGGTGTTTTATTGGTAGGAAAAGAAAGAGTGCTTCAGCTCCTCTGGAACCGGACTCAATACCCTCACCCAACTGCTGAACCCACAGACTCTGGCCAGGCTTCAGGGCTCTCAGCGGAATTCCGTGCTTTGGAACTTGAAGCTGGCATGAAATGCTTCCTGGGTCAAAGGGGAAGGAAGGACTTAAAAAGCTCTCAGTACAGCCCAGAAACAGGCATTTTGACAATTTAAGTGAAATGAATTGAACCCTGGAATTGAATTTTTCTTGGATGCCATGGCACCCAAAAACTTAAAGGAAGTTAACTGAGCGAACACAGAGTGCATTTGGCTATAACAAAAATGTTCTGGAATGACCTTTAGAACATTCTAATAAGACCCAAATTGAGGCAGGTCAGAAGCAACTCTGGATAGAATCCTAAGCTGCCTGTATTTCCAGCTTACACTTACCTTGAGTGTAATCTGGCCAAGTTCCTCTCTGTTATAACACAGGGAAAAAAGTACCTTGGTGTCTGGATAGGTAGGTGGCTTCTACTCAAAAAGCTATTCATGGAAACACAATTTCACTTAGAATTCATGTTTCTAAAACCAAACAGGGAAACTATGGTGAAAGCATGTTCTTACCTCCTGCTCCCCCCCCCCCCCCCCCC